AAAACTAATTTTGATTTCATTTTTTTTCAGTAGGCAAAAAAGTTCATGCTGTTTGTTGATCAATCAATACAACAAGTGCAGTTGTGAATTACACAGTCATCCCACAATCCAGTCGGCCAGTGAAACAGACAGACCAAAACAAGCAGTACCAGTAGAGTTATAGAATGCTAAAAATGAGTGTCTCAATCAGTGCGAGAATGTAATCACAAAGTAAATTGATTTGAGGTAGCTGAAGCCTTTCAGTGCAAAGCTAATTATATGATGGTACAATTTCGACACTTTCTTACTGACTCATTCACAGTGATGATGGCGAGGGTGATGATGATGAGGAGAGTAGTCGTGGTAATGCTGATGATGATGGCGGTGATCGTGAAAGATGAAAAGTGAATAAGATAGAAAAAGGGCATCAAATTATCATTTCTCAATCATCGGGTTGCTTAATATTAATGCAACTAATATAAAATTGCCAGCAGTAAAAATTTGCCTCCATGAACAAAAAAATTAGTTTTGCGCTTTCTTTTGCAATATGTTACTAGAAACTACTGTAGAGTCTGTTTTAGAAAAAAGACAAAAACTAAAATCTGCTATTGATTTGATAGGAAAAGGAAGATTACATAAATGTGTTTGTGTTGCTATTATATTCAGATGGCAATTAAAAGTTAAATGTTAATAATAAAATAATAAGAAAACAGGAGTAAATTTAGAAATACTATTTAATAGCAATAAAGCAATTTTTAATGATTAAATGCAAGAATGAGTTCGAAAACATTTATAAAATAGCTTTTATAAAATGTTTTTAAACAGTATTTTTTTTAATTAAAAAGCTTTGTTAATTTATTTACTGGCACACTGCGAAAAATAAGTTTGTGCTATAATTGCAAATTTTAAACACAAAGTCTCAATTATTTTTTTGTGTTTAATTAGATGTTTTGTTTTAAAACATAATAATTTTTTTAAATTTTTAAAAATAAAACTGAAAAATATTAGATTCATTTTTGTTCATAATAAATTTTTATAAAAATGCTATTTTTTTAAAAACAAACAAANCATGCAGCAAAAAATAAGTGAATGTCAGCAAAATTGAAGTCACCTAAAGTACTAGACAAATTTATCTAGCTTTTGATTTAAAACACAATTTGACAGTAGTAAAGTATATAAAATTCAATTGATAAAAAAATCAAAGAGAACAGGAAGTGACAACAAATGAAAGCATTTGTTTGAGTTTATAAAGTCACCTATTTTGTTTTTGATATTGGCCAATAGTGAGTGCACTTACTTTGAGCAAATCCATTGAATCGACAGAGCAGCGGCCCAAGTACGTAGACGGGCGAATATAGATGATTGACCAGGTGTACCCACATACAGCAGATGCAAATGCCTAGATCGGCCACTGCCAGATTAGCCAGATACAAGTTGACTGTCACACGAAGGGTTCGCTTCACAGCCACCGCCACTACGACGGCCAGGTTGCCAAACAGTGAGGCGACCATGACAAAGACGTAAAGGGCAATTTTGAAGTACTCATCCGTGCCAAAAACTTTTGTTCGGCCAGTGCCTGTCATGAAACAAATAAATTAGTGGAAGACAAAAAACAAAACAAAATGTGGTTACTACTAAACTTGGCTAAGATGCCTACATTGCGTGTATAATCTGCTCTAATCTAGGCCTAATAAAGAGGACAATCCAATTGATGAGTTCACCACACACTTACCTGGAAAGTTGTACTGCGTGAAGTTGATCATACTCTCAAAGGAGCTTTCCTGACACTCAGTTGAGGCGGTTGGAAAAAGTAAGTGATCGGTGAGCATTGTAACCTCCGTGCTGTTGCTGACTGCTGACTCAGTGAAGGCGAAAATGGTGCCCTCGTCGGATTGCATCTTTTCGAGGCTGCTGGTAACTTTGCTGTCGCGACTACTGCCCTCACTGCTGCCGCTGCCATTGTGGGCAAAGGCGGATGAGGCAGTTGAGTGGTGAGCTAGGTGAGAGGTAGCAGTGGCTAATGAGGCAGTCAGGGAGAGCATCAAAACAGTCGACAGTGGCTGCATGATGCCACTCCGCTCATTGCCCGGTTGCAAGTAATTGGAATAGTGCTCAGAGGTGGCTAGCAAAAAACGAGGAGGGGAAGAGGAGACGGCATTCATATTGATGGCCAATGATGATGATGGCGATGATGGTGATGGGGATGATTGCTATGCAGATAACGTTTTCTGTTTGTAGCACACCATTGAGTGAAATAGGGTTATTTTACACGTGTTTGAAATGAATGATCAGGAGGTATTTCAGTCAGCTCAACAATTTTGGCATTGTCAAAGATGACTTTTGCACTTTAAACAGTTGACCTGTCAAAAATTAATAAAAAATAAAAAAAATTAGATTGACACAAAGTTAGTTGTATTACCACGCTAATAAGATTACTCTGATCATTGACCATGCACAAATTTAACGAAGATCAAGAGAAGAAAAGTAGTTAAAAGTTGCTCTAAATAAAAAGATGTGTAATGATATAATTCAATTACAATTACTGAAACTTGATACAGAATTGATGGTTTAGCATTCCGGGCACACAATCTACATAATTCAATTGATGAACAGTGGACAGATAACATTAGGAGAAAATTGTCAACTGATAAAGTCACCTTAAAAATTTCAAAAAATTTTAAAATGATTTTAAATCAAACAACTTTTTGAGATGATAATTGTAATTTTTTTGTTTAAAAAACAAGATGTTAAATTCAATTATAAAATTAGCTAATTAGTAAAAAATGTATTGCAGAACAGCCAACATTGGGACGTTTTTTAAAAAACGTATATTCAGTTTTTTAACTGCTCACAAAAGTAAAATAAAAGCGCCATAGGCATTGTACATAAACAAAACAAAAAGATACACTAAAAATACATAAAAAAACAGTTTTAAATTAAATGGGGCATAAATAAAAAGAAATTGCTGGAGCTGCCGGACTGTTGGGAATTGACCACATTTGATTTTAAAATTCAATTCAAATTAAATTTAAATTGATGGCTTTTGTTATTTTAAAATAGTAATAGTAAAAAGCTTTTTATTTTTGTTGAAAATGAGTTCTAACAATAAAATAATCAATTTAAGCTACACAAAGCAACCATGGCACTTGAATTGAAAACGCATAAGCACAAAAATGTAAAAACAAGCGCAAGTTGAAAAAAATTTCTTGACAAAATTCAAACAAAACGCTCAAAAAACGTGTGTGTAAATGTGGACAATGCGACCAAGAGTGTTAGTGCAAGTGATGATGGCGGTGATAAAAGACAGGCAAGTGGTCGATAACGGACAACAGTCGGCTGACTTTTGTCGACTCAGCATTGCTGAAACGGCTTCACAGATTTGAAGTGCTCTCTCAAATTTTGCTGTTTTTACTAGCAAGTTGCCTTAAGTAGCTTTGGTTTTTGTTTGATGCAACACCAGCAACAGCAGCAATCATTGCAGTTATTCACTAGACAAATACGAAAACACGTCATTCTTTGCTGTCAATTAAAAAAACGAGATTTTTGTGTTTTGTTAAATGACTATCTGCACATCTAAACAGATTGGGGTTTGAATAAATGATAACAAGATTTGTTGTATAGATCATTGCAAGCCGGAAACTTACAAAGGTCATTTAATCACTGCAACTCAACTTTTGTCATGTTGCATAAGTAGTTAAAAAATAAAATTCAGACAAACACATAACCAGTTGAGTGAGCACAATCATTTTTTGAATAACACTTTTTCTTGCACAAAAACAATTTTTGTAACTAGAGTTTTTTGTATTAACATTTTTTCTAATTATGCACAAGCATGTTTCTAGAAAAAAATATTCAATAAATTTGAGTGTGCACATTTTTCAGTTTTTAATAACAAGGATTAAATGTTACTTTATGTTAATTTAATTAAATTAAAATTATTTTAATTTTTAATCAATATTTTTTGCAACAATTAGAATGTAAAACAGTTTTACAAAATACAATGACAATTAAAATTACGTTTTAGCATTTTTTAATTGACAAACTAATTTAAAAAATTTTTTAAAATTTATTTTTAAGTGCAAATCAATAAATATATAAATGAGGTTTTTATTGTTTTAATAACAAAATTAAAAGTGTAGTGCAATACAAATGCTTTTTGAACAAATTATTCTTTAATTTTAGTTTTTGTTGCATGAAAAAAAATTCAATGTAATAACTTGTTTTGAAATGCATGTTACAAATAAAATTGCATTATGAAAAAAATAAACTGATTGTTTATATTTTCAATTGGTAAAACAAACAAGTCAAAACTGTAACAATTTATATGACATTGTTTTGAAAAAAACAAATAAAACTAGTGTAAATTAAAAATAAAAAACTAAAATAAAACAATCAGTCCTACGTACCAAAAAAGTTTTTAACAATCAGCACAAACTTACTTAAGGGGGGACACCGCGCACTTTTTTACTGCTTTTTCGAATTTTGAT